TCTCTCTCTCTCAATTATAGGAGTTGGAAAATTTTCTTATTTATTTGATATAAAAGTGTAATTAGAGGACTATAACATAGTTTCAAAAGAACTAGTTTGAGGTTATTTTGATTTGAAGTCAATTCATAAGCTTTGGATTTGTTTCTATACTGAAAGGTCAGATAAAATAATTATTTCACAAACTATTAACTCCTTATAACAAAATGAAACACACTTTCAAATTAGCGAAATCTGAATACAATTCAATTGTGTTTAAGAGCCCAGTCGTGGAGGAGGTGTCTAGAGATGAGCAGATAATACTATAGTATCCAATTGGAGACAAGAGTTGGCCTCCAATTATGGTAAACAAGTTTGCTTTACGAGAATGGCTTGCATTCAATTGATTCACTTTAAGCACTGCTAGACTTACTGTAACCGCACCCCAAAGGCTGTCCAAAAAGTAGTTAAATTACCATTTTTTTGGTTATGCTTTACAATGTGTTGTGTGTCTGAAGTTTAAGATATACTCAATTGAGATGCGATCGGGTATTGAGCGCTAACTTTACTATACTTTACACAAACTGTTTGTTTAAGACTTGTTTCGCAAACAAATTTCTATTTACAAAATATTTGTCAAAAAGTGATCTCATATTCTGTTTGTTCACCGATTCTAATGATTTCTATTAACTTAATAATAATTGAAAGTGAATTTGTTTCAAAAAGTTCATTGCTATATTTATTGCATTTAAATAGTTTAATAACTCATTAAATGGTAAAAAACAATTATTCGGATTCAATGTCACGATCGGAGTCTTCGAGTCCAATCAATTCAGACGTTAGTATTGACATCAATGATGACGACGAAGACATTTCTCGGTCGCCAAAGCGGGAACCGCTCTCTTCACCACTTATGCATCCAAACGGTGCAATCAATTGTAATAAACCATCAAAACTATCATTCAGTATAAGCCGATTATTAGGAGGTAATAGTGATTCAAATAAACACATTCAGAGCGGTTCGACATCTGATCATGATTTGGGTGATTGTGTTGCCTCTGAATCTGATGTCAAATCTTCATCGATCCCATACCCACCGTCTTCTCCATCCCTCTCACCCAACACTAAATACAGTCTCCAAACACACCGCATGTCTATGAGTCCAATGAGTCCCTATGAGACAGCATTAACTCATTTGTCGGGATCTCATTACCAATGGTTTAATTCCGCACCAAATACTCTAATCAGAGACGGTCTTCAAAGTAAGTCCTTTTGATAATCCCTTAATCTCATAATACACTACAATCGAGTCAATTAAGTAATACTTAATATGAATGGTCATGAATGCAGAACTACTCGAACCCCCAAAGTTGCCTCCAGTCAAGTGTCAGCTCAGAAGACATAAGTCTAATCGCAAGCCTCGGACACCGTTTACAACACAACAACTGTTGGCACTCGAGAGGAAGTTTAGGTCAAAACAGTACCTCTCGATCGCCGAAAGAGCAGAATTCTCCAGGTATTCAACCCTACAATCTCTATATATCTTTACTTTTACTCATTTAAACTCAATAAATGACATTTTTGTTTAATAATCATTATCGAGATTTATCTACATTGATGTTAATTTTGATATTTTGCAATAAGTAAACGCAAAATATTTGTAATAAAAGCTTTTATATAGAAGTACTGAATGTTTTTTCGATGCCTTGAAATTTATTGAAAAACTTTTAGATAAGAGATTCTAGATATTCTTGATAACAAAAATATAACTAACTATTGTTAATCATTTTAGAGTATTATTATCAATAACAGAAAATAATACACTTTACATGCTTCATGAATTAATAGAGATTCATACTATTATTAACATAAAACCTTAATAGATTAATTATTTATTAATAACATTACGATATTTATATCTAATAATATTAAATTGATATTAAATTGATTCACTGTATTATATTAGAAAACTTATATATTAGTAAATCAATAATGGTGTTGATTAAATGATTAAAAATTATAAAGATTAAAAAGTGTATTAAGTGTTAAGTGTAATGTATAAATTGTTTTAAAAATTAAATTGATTTTAATTAAAAATGCCATGTTAAGTCAAAATTACTTATAAAATTAGAATTAAGTCAAAATTATGTGTTTAATCAATCAATGAATTTGAAATATTATAAAATAATTATCTCTTTGATAACCTTTTGGTTCCATTAAACATATAATTTATTTTCAATATTCATGTAAACAACTAAAAACTAATAATGGATTCATTGAACAGTTCGCTTAATTTGACGGAAACTCAGGTGAAGATATGGTTTCAGGTGTGTATTGCCGTATGAAATATGAAATAACATTTGAAAACTAATAAATTTTAAAATAATTTTGGAGAACAGAACAGAAGAGCCAAAGAGAAGAGACTAAAAGAGGCCGAACTCGAGAAGATGCGAATGGCTTCGCGACCGCTAATACCTCAGGCAATGGGAATGAGTGGCTTTTCGGTAGGCCTTCACCATAACTCGCATAGTGTTGGACACAATCCTTTTATGCCGACACCGACTTCGCTCTCATCCCTACCACCGATGCATTCCTCATCGGCGGCCTCATTGGCGGCGATGCAGGCCTTTAACAGTCACTCGCATTCAAATGAAATGAATTCTGTGAACACTATCCGTCCGATACCGACGTCTCTATTTAACTCTCATATGAGTACAGCTAACATGAATTTGCGTCCATAGACTGCCTGTTCGTAACTATCTGTCCCATAATTGAACAGTAATTCAATTGATCGTTCATTACTGAAGAATTTGTAAGTAAAGTGCAATTATTCTGTTAATTCATATTCATAATCATTAGCTTTACATATAGCCTATACTATACATGATTTGCATTAGAGTCTAATGATTAGACTCACACTTAAATATTTATGTATAAAATATTGCTAACAATTATTTATATAAACAACAAATTTATTTATATATACCATGATTATTATAAATATAAGCAAAAATAATAATGCAATACATATTATAATTACAATAAGTTATATTCAATTAAAACCCAAATGTATATAAATATAATAATTAGCGAGTAATGAGAAATAATAATTAAATGAATGTTTTTTTATTATTAATATAATTGTCTCTTTAATTCAATTATTCACTTCTCGAATACAATTATTGTCGAAGCAATTCATTAAAAGCAAAAACAAGACTTGGATTTTATACTCTCTTTCTGTATGAATGCTTTAAAAACCTGTTTTTAAGCAAAAGTTTAGATTTGTGTTTAAATGAGCAAAAAATGTTTTCTGCTTCGAGTGGTGTATAAAGTGTATGCATTTGTCATTTGTTTTGGTGTCCCGTCTCTCGTCTCAATTGATTAGCTTTCCTTTAATTGAATTGCATTTAAACCTCAAATGACAACAACTGGTGACCAGTAATTACAATCACTTTTTATTACATTTAATGCTTTCGTGGCTATAAATCAGAGAAAACTTAAAAAGCAATCTCTTCTTATGATTAAATAAAGAGAAACAAAAAAAAACTCAACCATTATATTAATAATACTATAATATCATTAGAAAACGGGAGACAAGCGCTTAGAAGTTTCACTTTTTGCTCCATCCATACCATCCATACCTGTGCTCTCACTTTGAAAGAGAAAATTGTGAAAACGAGAAAATGTGTGCAAAGAAAAAGTGTACATTAATTTGCATTTTGATTGCTCTGTAATTTTTGTTAATTTATTTTTCGTACTCTTTTTCAAACACATGAGAAAAACTTTTTACAAATTGAAAGCGAATTAAATAATATTAAATTAATGACACAATTATTTTTTAGTATTTAATAATTAAACTTATTTTTATTTTATACTTTTCTTTCTATCCATTCGTTATTTTAATAACGTATTAATGATAACATTTATTTCAATAGCAACTGATTTTGATTAATATGTTTTTTACTCTCAAACAAAATACTTTATTTAATACTTTAAGTTAAAAAGTAGTAAAAATAAGTTTAATTTAAAATTTAATTGACCTAAAAATTTATAACAATTAATCAAAGCTATAAATAGTGTAATATTTAAATTGATATGCATTTGTAATGATTGCTAACAAATACTATAAATGCTTATCTGATTTTAATTATATAAAAGTATTAAAATTTCAATCACTATTTAATGTAAAGTAAAATTTAAAAACAATTTTGGTTTAGTTTATTGTAATTAAATTGTGAACATTTTAAAAACACAATTAAATTAGTCTGAAATATATTTCGATAGGAATTAACGATAAGTCTATGAATAGTAATTAAAAGCAATGACAAGAAAAAAGCACAACTGTTTTGAGCATCTCTTGTAAAAATCAAACACATGGTAAAAGAGTGAAACATAATTTGACAAAACTTTTCACTATTTTTTCCCTTAAGACTGAAGACATAATTATCATTCATTAGATCGCTTTCCAGTAGAGTTGAAGCCAATTATTAACTGAAGTGTGAAGTAAACGGCATTAAAAAGTGAAACTATTTTTCACACTAAAACCCAATGCAATGAAGTATAGGCTTCTTATCCAACAGTTTTAAGCCACTAATGAAGAAGTGAAGAGCCATAAGTGCAATAACTATTGGCTCATAAAATAGTGGTGCACTTTGTATATGAAAAAGTGGTCTTCAATTTGGTAATTAATTTGTGCCCAAATTGTGTTAAGACGAGCGCACAATCACTATAACTAAAAAGTTGTGAATAACAACCATTATTATTGCTCTTATATAATATTTCAGTAAATGATTTTTCGCACCTGTTTTTTAAGTGTATATTTTGTAAATCATTTTCTCTCGAAATCAAATGAACTCATTTTCTACTCATTAGGACTGAGATTTCACTTTCTTTTAATGAAACGAAACATTTTCTCTGTTAATGAGAAATTACTTCTTATAAATCGAAAGAGCATTTCAATACAAATTAACAAAATCTAAAGCAAGACTTTGCGGTAAAAGATATTTTAGACATTGAAATAATAGTTGAAATTTTTCCCCAGAAGATAAAAAATAGTTAAGAAATCATTTATTTGGAGTTTAAGATAAATTGCAATCAAAACATAAATAGTTGTTTGAAAGCATGAGTTGATATCTAATAATAAAAGGACAGACATTAGCAGTTTGTGATGGCATTAGCGCCACAATTATTTTTGGTGTCATTGCCAGCGCTGTGCAGAATATGATCTCAAAATATCGTGCAAACCGATAGTTAGACACCAATTGAGTCGGTATTTACTGAGAGAAAAGAAAATAATTATATAAAATGCACTTAAATAGCGAACTACCGAATCAATTGAATGGGTGGTCCATCGACTCTACATTATTTATCATTGCATTTTACCATCAGATAACTTTAATTTGACTTTTCCATCGGCTTTTACATGCCTTCCAGTCGTATTGTCGGCCCTCTTATTCATTACTATAGTATTTGGTGTTGAGATTATTTGAGCCCAAAATTCTGTGCATATCTATACCGTATATATTCTCGTATTTGAATTAATTAATTGTCAATAAACTAATTGCTTAATGTCTCGACAAAAACCGATACGAAAACATTGAATGATTACATAAATGTTAAACAAATTCTGTCTATTAATAGTCATAAACACTGAATATAGCGTATAGTTGTATATACTATAGAGCCATAAAGCTATTGAATAATAGTTTTGCACACTTATCCTATGGATAACTGACTCGACAATAATTAAATGTGAAATATTCATTATAAGCTTAAAGTCAATTAAATTTAATTTATTCAATTTTGAAGATTTTAGTCAAAAAAGATTTCATGATTTGATAATTATATCTATTTTTGCTAAAAACCTATTACTCGTGTTTGAGAAACACTTCTTTTATTGTACAACAAATTTTAGCGAAACTACTAATGAGACAAATATTAGCGCAAAAACACATTAATTTTTTCATAGATTTCTTAAAAATGTATTAAAATGTAAAAGTAAAACAATATTTGTTTAATGCTTTTAATATACGATATTGTTGTGATCAATAATGAAATTATTACCGGTATCTGTTGTGTTCATTTAGACTTATATTTAATATCGAGTTTCATACAAATTTTATAAAGATTTATAGTATTTTTATACAATACTGTATTTAAATTATGAGCCTTGTCCAATTTATAGAGTAAACCATATATTGGATAGTTATTTATTCTATACTCACTTTTTGTTGGACATGTAAGAAGTCTTTTCATACATCCTTTACATACCGATAGCCTCTATGTTATAATGGAGTAAAAATGTCTAAAATACAAACTCAAATGAATGCATCAGTCTTTATAAGCATTGGCCTAAGCCTTCATCACGGCTTTTATAAACCATTTGTCTATAAATTAATGGAAAAAAGTTAGATTTGTTTTGATTTGAAAAAGATTTCAGTGTGTCTTGTATTTTGGGTCAAAACAAATACATGTGAATGTGTTTTCAAAGAGTCTTAATGTTTAATAGTATTAACTTTTGCTGAACTAAAGTGAAGTTAATTCAAAAATCATTGCAAACTATTTAGTTATTTAGAACACAAACTCAGTTTGAGCTCAACTTTGAATTGAATGAAACAAATTAATTAATTATTTCAATCCAAAGAACTTAATTATTTGATAATCGAGTCGCTCTCTCTCTCTCTCTCTCTCTCTCTCTCTTTCATTCATTCACACATTCTTCCATTTCAAGTAATTCAGACCCTAATTAAAAATACTTGTGATCTAATTAATAGTTAATTTTATTGCAATCAAATAATTTATATTCAATATATCAATGATTGACTGATTATTTCGTAATTCCTTTCAATTAATTGAAAATTATTTAATAAATATAAATGTTTTAAAAGTTAATTAAAAATTAATAATAATATTCACGCAAAATAAGAGAACTTTCAAAACTAAGAGCTGATAATTCTGAGAGAATTTAAACACTAAAACAAATTAATCAAATGATTTCTTTTAGTCGTTTGATAAGCGTTTTTGTCTCTCATATGCATTTAGTTTTCATCACATAATGTTTTGTCAGACAACAGACACAATCAGTTTTGTGTGCAGAGAGAGAGAGAGAGAGAGAGAGAGAGCGACTCGATTAAAATTACTTGAAATGGAAGAATGTGTGAATGAATGAAAGAGAGAGAGAGAGCAAAGAATACACACTATTTACAAGATTGCAAGCCATGGGTATGGTATAGGAGGTCATCGCGTAAACTGAGCAAAATGTTTAAGCACTCAAACACGAAGACTTGAAGTCAAATCATATGCTTTTTGTGTGTTTGCTTTGTTCTTAATTAATAGAGTTTAGAGTTTTATCAAAACTTTATTTAATTAGAAAGATATGAAAGCGTTTTAAAAATATTATTAAAAACATTTTATAACTTTTTTTGTGATAATTCTGAGCAAAAATAAACTTAATTTATTTTAAGACATTTTACGGTAAGATTTGTAAAGCAATGCTCACATATGAAAACATTTACAAAATAACATTATTTATGCTTTTGATGCTTAGGCCTGAATATGAAGATTAACAAAAAAGATGAGCCTTTGCTTATACAACAAGACTTCACCGAAAAAAAACCAATTCATTAAAACTCATTGATTATAAAGCGTTTGAATAATACTTCACATTATTTCAGTTCATTGTTCAACACATATAAAGAAATCTTGAAATTAAATGTTATTAATGTATAAATACTTGAGTTAT